TGGCTGTCGCAGCATCCGGATAATGTGATCGCTGCCCACTGCAAGGCCGGCAAGCTTCGGGAAAACATACGCCCCCCAGGCCCGCGAGGACAACAGAGACGCCAGCAACTTCCCCCCCCCCCCCCCTCGCCCCCCGACCCCACTCCCGACGCATCCCATGTGCAAGGCTCTTCCATTACCGCCCTGCGCCCCGCCCCGGGTCTCAGTCGATATTTCCCCGATCTTGCCCACCACCCCGCCCGATCTCAGGTGTTCCCTGCCCCCCCCCCCCCCTTCCTGCCCCCTACATTTGCCTCCTCGCAAGGTACCCATGTTTTCGACGCAGCCCCACTGTTGCTCGCGATCGCTCCACACCGGCGCCCACTGCGCGGAGCCCGACGCGACGGACCCGACGAGCGCTTGCGCCGACGGCCGGCCCTACTTCATCGTGAGCCCGCCGGCCGCGGCCGCCACGATTCCCGGCTTCCGGGCTCAAGATCTCCCGGACGCCCCGGCCGCCACGGCTTCCCAGGAGGACAACCCCCCGCCATTGGCCATGCGTTCGCCCGGGCAGCTGGGCATGCTGGACTTCCTCACCTACAAGGTGTCGCTCTCCTGGAACCACTTGCTGGTGGATGTGCTTGGCTCGCCGCTCGGGCTGTCCTGGTATGCCGCCTGTGCCGACACTTTGCCTCCTCTGGTGGCTTCTCGCTCTCGCTCTCGCCCTCGCTCTCGCGCTCGTTCTCTGGCTGTTGCCCCTCCTCTGTCTTGGTCGCCCCCGGCCCGGCCCGATTCGCTCCTCCCCCCCCCTCTCTCTCTCTCTCTCTCTCGGTGCTCCGCCGTTGCCCTCTTACACACACATACACATGCGCACAATCCGTGCCCAGGTTCGACCAGGTGTACGAGGGCCTGCTACTCGGGGCCCTGCCCTCATCGGAGATCATCTCGGCCCTGGCCCAGTCGGGCTCCGACCAGCGCCTCTCGGCCGTCGTCAACATGTGCTCCGAGTTCAACCTCAACTCCGAGGTGCGTATGGCGCGGGTGTTTGCCTGGACACTGCGCCGCCTGGCAGTTGCCGCGTGCCCCCTCCCCTGCGTCTGACACCGCCCGCCCGCCCGCCCGCCCGCCCGCCCGCTTGCCCTCCGGCGCTCCAGCTCTACGACAAGCTGGACCTGCCGCAGCTCCGCCTACCGACGCTGGACTTTTCCGTCCCCTCGATCCCGGCCCTATGCGCCGGGGTGGCCTTCCTCTCGCGCTGGCTCACGCCGTCCGAGGATAACCCCCGGCCGACGGTCTATGTCCACTGCAAGGTGCGTGGTCTTGGGGTCGCTCCTCGGGCCGGGGCCCATCGCCCTTGGCCTGCCCCATTGCCCCTGGCTGTTCTTTGGATGCCCATTTTGGCCGACGACTAACACCGGGCTGCTCTGCTCGCCGTCTGCGCAAATGGCAGGCCGGTCGCGGGAGATCCGCCGCCCTGGTGGTTCTGTATGTGGCGTGGCGACTGTTCCTGGAGCACAACCGGGCCATCCTCCCGGAGCCGGTCCAGGTCGGCATCCCCTCGCCAGCTCCGGCCGCCGGTGCCGGGTCCCCCGCCCCGAACTCCGAGGCCGCCACCACCCCTGATACGGCCATCGCCCCGGACACGGCCAGTGCCCCGGCGGTCGCCACGGGCGTCGACGAGCCCACCGACGACGAGGATGTCCACAACACCGGGCAGGGCTCGCAGGCAACCGCCGCCGACCACATGCCGGCAGCCATCCCGAGCACGGGGACACCCGCCGGGGATGCGGTCGCTGCCGGGCCTGACAGCACGCACGGGACGTCCGAGCTCCAGGCCCCCCCCGCCGGGCACTCCGACACCGGGACCGATGATCTGATCATCCGCGCGTGCAGCCACTTCCTGGAGGCAGCCCTGGAGATGGTTCTCGAGAAGCGCAAGCAGATCAATGTGGATCTCGCCACCAGGCATGAGATCCGCTCGGCCATGTACTCCCTGGTGCGGCACTTGTGCACCGAGCACGGGCTCGATGCCCGCCTCATCGCCCCCCGGCCGCGGGAGGAACCGGCCGTCCCCGCCGCGGCCGCCGACTAGCTCTCCTGAGCCGCGTGGCCAATCGCTGCTGACAGCGGCCGCCCCGCTGCCCCTCCCCCCCCCTCTTCTCCGGCCGAAGGGCGGGTTGTTGTTGTTGCAGCTCTGCCAGGGCCCTCCTCAGGTCCGGGTAGCACATCCCCCCCCCCCCCCTCCCCCCCCCCCCCCCCACCACCAACCCAAAAAAAAACACACCCCACACGCGAAAGACCCGGCTTCCTGCCGGTGTGTTTTTGCCCCCTTCGGACAGACGCACACGCGTCCAGAGGGGGGGGGGGAGGGGGAGGGAGGAGAAGACAAAGGGCAAGCGGAGGGGCACGCGAATCTACAAGGGAGAAGGAGGGGAGGGGGGATGCTGCGACAAGGGGCTGCCGGGTGGGGCAAGGTCGAGGAGGGGGGCGCCGCCGGCAGAAGGGGGGAGGGCCGAAGCCCACGCACGTGCGCGCGTACTGCTGCCGGCGCACCGCCCTCGGCTTGCCCTGGCCGTCGCGCCTCTCGCGGCGATGTGAAGATGGCAGCCGAGGAAAGGACGCAGACCCCGGCGCCTGACTCTTGTTCGCTCTTTCTTTCCCCCCCCCCCCCTCCCCGGCCCTGGCGTTGGGGGAGGGAAAGGGGCGGCCCGGCGGCGGCGATTGTGCGGCTGCTGCCGCGCCGCCGTTGCCGCTGCCACTGCCGCCGCCGCCGCCGCCACCACCACCATCTAGGAAGCCTCGGCCGAGGCGGAGGAATCATTGAACACAATGAAGGCCATGAAGGCCAGGAAGGCCACGGCCAGCGCGATCATGGCCGGGGAGGTGGGCGAGCCGGCGGCCTTCGGGGGGATCTCCCGCGCGGCGGCCTTGGCCGCGGTGCCGGGACTGCTCGGCGCCTTGCCCGAGGATCGGGGAGCGCCGGAGGTGACCACGGCCGACTGGGACACGGTCTCCACATCGAGCGGCGACAGGCCGGCCACGATGTCCCGAGCCAGGGGCATCTTCCCGGCACGCATGAGCACCGAGCAGTGGGCCGCCAGGTCCGGATGGTTGAGAGTCAGGACCGAGCAGACGACATCATCATCGCGCGGCCCCGGGCCGACGTCCGCCGGCACCCCCAGGCCCAGGGCGAAGGTGTACAGCGCATAGGCCGGGCCCTTGGTCTTGCTCGGGGGCAGGGTGACCAGGTGCTGGCGCGGGGCCGCCCCATCGGCCGGGACCAGGGACCCGGCGCTCTGGATGGTCAGGCGGAACTGGTCGGTCCAGAAGAAGGGCACCGAGTCGAAGATGGCCCCCGGCTCGTTGAGCATGGACCGGGCCGCCACGCGGGCCTGCTGCTGGGCCACGGCCCAGTGCTCGATGCGCACGCGAGCCACCTGGCCCGAGGTGGCCGGGTCCTCCAGCAGAGCCTGGCTCTGGCGGACGCCCTCCGGCCCGAGATGCGGGTTCAGATAGGGGAAGGTGGCCAGGTCGCCGGCGGCCCAAATGCGCCCCTCAAAGCCGGACACCCGCATGGACGCGTCCACCGGGATCGACTGGTCCGGCAGCAGGGGCAGGGCCCCGGCCGCGAAGCTGGTCGCCGGGATGACCCCGATGGCGATGACAAAGAAGTCGGCCTGCAGCTCGCGCGTCGGCTGCTGCTCCGAGCCGTCCTCCGGGTTGGCCACCGAGAAGGAGATGGAATTGATGCGCGACCCGTCGGGGGTCACGTCGAACCCGTGCACCCGGGCATCGGTGATCAGGTCGATGCCCTGGTCCAGCTGCGCGCGCTTCACCTCGGCGGAGATGGCCGACCCGGTGATGCGGGCCAGGGGCTCCGACTCGCTGCAGAGCATGGTAATGGACCCGACGGACTTCTTCAGCATGGCGGCCGTCTCGAGGCCGATGAACCCGGCGCCGACGATGACCACGCGGGCGGTGCTCAGGTCGGTGACTGTGCATGGGCGCGCGGGTGATGGGCGGGGGGGG